TCCAGTTCTGTAGGTACTATCAGTAACTGCTGGACTTGTTGTTTTAAATACATGCAAGCTCCTGTGCCCTTTGATACTGAGAGGCTAACTGGCTTGTTTATTTTTATTATTGTCTGTTATAAAGGAACTGACCAAGACATTAAAAATCCAAACCAAATAGAAGGTTAGAAGGTCTAAGACCAGACTCAAGTCAGATGGAATGTGATTGAGAGACAGAAAAGTTAAGAGTCGTGGTGAGTGATATGAATTAACGTTCTTCTTTGAATGTTTGAATAGTACCTAATAGGTTGCTTAATTAATTAGTGACTTGTGGGAATTGTTCTGATACCTGGATGCTTCATAGCAACATTGTGTGCCAGCTACTTGTAGATGGCAAGCTATCCACCATCAATTAATCAAAAAAGGAAATGCTGTTCATGAAGAGATGTAGCCCCTGATGTTTGACCTGGTGTTTGAGTTTGAAAACACAAAAGTACAGTATATACAATGTATTTAAACATGTATGAGAGTTTGCGAAGGTAACTTGAAAATCTTGGGTGACACAGTCTAACTTTTGATTTGATCTCAAAATCTTGGAACCCTCATTTCAGTGTGAATCCTCTTGTCTCAGAGCCAGCTTTTAGCCAGATTAGTCCAGATTAGTCTAGATGTCCTGTGGATGCCAACTTTTTCTTGAAAGAAAAGTAATAACCTCGATTTTAAAATTGTTATTTTTTACATGTTGCATTATAAATTATTGTCCATTTGAGCAGACCCTATAGCACTTACCCTGCATCAAATTTTTAAACAATGTTTGAGTTTTAGTATTGTTTTTAATAAGCCGGCCTTGTGACAATGGTCAACATGACTATCATAATTCAGGTAAAGCCCTGTGTTTGTTGGCTTTCTGTATACACTTGTACTGAGTTTAGTGCCGTTCTTTGCAATGTTCATTCCCAGAAAAGGAAGGGTGTTGTCCATAGCAGTTTTCATTGTGGAATTTAAGGAGGGGTGTTTTGAGTTCAAAACATCAAGAAAGGAGGTAGCCGTTTGGGGGTTAGGCATGACTGTAAATGTGTCGTCAACGTAATATTATTGTTTGTAGTAGTCAGGTATTTGGCCATCGTCTTGTAAGAGTTTTAGTATCTGGACGAATTGCGGTTTTTTTGCCAACGAATTGTTTAGCCAACGACTCGGATGTTGGCGAAGTGACTTAGGACGTTGGCCAATCGACCTAAAATGCTGGTGAATGAGACATTGGCTAAACAACTCATTGGCAAAACAACCGGATACCATCTGGACAATTCTTGGATTTTAGCAGTTTTTACACCTTGTACAATGTACATGACTGTGCATTATTTCATTAGAAATAAGTATTCTTAAGAGTGTTGACAGTTATACCATGGAGGCATCGGACCGTGTACAACATGTATCTGGTGGTTATACTTCTGCAGGGTACATTACTTGTATATATTTACCAGGGCTCCTTACACTGCGTGCACTAGACAATACATGTCTTTGCAAGTTAGCAGCATAGGTAATTTCCTATAGCCATACATGTACATCAACACAAGCAGGATCAGTGGTTTCAATAATTTGTAAAGAGGAGTGTTTCTTATAGTATGTCATTTGAACAGTACATGTGATCATTGTGATTAATTTGCTAGTGAACTAAAATGTGTCTTTTATCTTTAAGGATATATATATATTTCGGCAACATGCCTTGACATGAACATGCACACCAGAAAGTGAACAGACCAATATTATTAAGGCAGACTTAACCAAATGGAGGATAAGGTTCACACTCTAGATGCACATGGTTAGTATATGTCTCCCCCAGGCCTCCCTTCTGTGTGGGATGCTGCCAGTTCATGATTGTATGAAATCCATTCAAGGTTACTCCCTAG